TGAAACAGTGCAAATATCAAAAAATTTCTATATGTGACACGGCACCAGAGTTAAGTTAGGGTTTTTCAAAATGCTAACACTCCGAGCTCAAAAGGTTTGCCATCTCTGCCCCAGATATTACTCTACTCTTGGCTGGACAGAGATTCTTGTATGGAGATCAATGGGGTTGGCTGGCAACCTGGAGTTCTTATCAGTATGGTTCCCAGAATATTGGGCAGAAGGTTCCTCCTTCAATCCAGTCACTGACTGCTCTTTGAGACTGTTCAGACCTGTAAACTTGGCCTCTGCTTTGTTTCCTCTAATAAGTTCTAAATGCAGGGTGTGGCATGAAGGTCTCCTGAGTGTGCACAAGCTATATTATCTGCCCTGAGGCTCCTGGGAGAGGGTAGCTCCTCTCATGAAAAAATGACTGTTTGGGTTTGGATAGATATGAACAACCAAATGCAGGACTCCAGGCTACTGCTATTCCATGTCTCCCTGCCCTGCTTCCCATCCCAGCCTCACAGGCACCTCAAGTCCATGCCTCCCTCTGCAGCAAAGCCTCCAGTGAGTCATTGCAAATGAAAGCTCCTTTGCTCTGGGTTTAGAGAAAAAAAAAAAAAACACTCCATAAGACAAGCAAAAACAAAACAAAACAAAGAACTGTGGCTTTTTTCTCTGACCGGCTTCTGTTCCTAGCTTCAGACTTTACCTCAAGCCAGCAGCCCTGCCACCTGTCTTGGCTAGATGTTATGTGGACTGTGGGATGGGACTCTTGTGTTCTGAGGTGCTATGGAGCCCCACCTGGGTTCCAGGCCTCTGTCTTCTGAGGGGACAGACTGTCCTGTAGCTGGAGTTTGCTTCTCCCTCTTAGACCACCAGCATGCCACCCCTGGCCACTGGGTCCGCTTCTCCTGCAACTTTGCTCTTCTTATTAGTCTCTGGGTGTTTTCTCTCCTCCTCAGCGGGACCAATTGATTTTTAGAGAAAGAGACATCAATATGAGTGTGAAACATCAATAAGCTGCCTCCTGCATACACCCTACTAGGGATCCATCCTGAAACTCGGGCATGTATTCTGCCTGGGAATTGAACCAGCAACCTTTTGGTGCACTGGGCAATGCCTAACCAACTGAGCCACACCGGCCAGTGCCAATTTGTACTTCTTAATCTCTTCACCTTTATAAACTCATCCCCCTCAATACCCCTCCTATCTGGCAACTATCAAAATGTTCTCTGTATCTATGAGTCTTTTTTTTTTAAAGGTGCATACATTTATTAAAATTTTGAAGCCAAAACCGGTTTGGCTCAGTGGATAGAGCGTCGGCCTGCGGATTGAGGGGTCCCAGGTTCAATTCCGGTCAAGGGCATGTACCTGGGTTGCGGGCACATCCCCAATAGGAGATGTGCAGGAGGCAGCTGGTCGATGTTTCTCTCTCATCGATGTTTCTAACTCTCTCTATCTCTCTCCCTTCCTCTCTGTAAAATATCACTAAAATATATAAAAAAATGTTTTTGAAGACATTTAACAATTTATTGATGTCAGAAATATAAATTCTTAATATTAACTCTAGAGACATGAGAATTCAATTTCAAAGGCTTTAGAAAGAATACCTTATAAAGGTATTCTTACTATTACATTCTTTGTTAGACTGGTACTTGGAGCACTTTGGATATCATTTCACCATTTCATTCCCAACCCAGTACCTGGATAAATTGGCCAGCAGTAGCACATGAAATTGTGGATAGATGAGAGTCTCATATGCGTATTTATCTAAATGAAGTATATAGCGCCAGGTTTCCCATTTAATGAAATGCAGTTTCTTTTATAATTTTTTGGAGCAATAAGCCTTTAGATTCCCATTTTCCCCAGGCAGAGAAGAGCGACTCAAGTGCCTTTGTCCTACCACACCTCTGAGTCCTTGTTAGGAGTTAAAGCACTGGCTGAATTATCACCATTGGACTCCTGATAAGGATGCAGGTAAAAATGTCTCAGAAGGTGCTTTATTCTTTCACATCTCAAATTCACTTGGCTGGTCACAGGTAGGCAGGTAGAAATGGGTTAAAATCTTTGCAACTCAATTTGGTTAGTGTAAGGCATGACAGAAGAAACCAAACCAGCATTTTGCTCCAAGGTGATCATGTAGCTCTGAAGAAGTGGCAAAAGCCATCCCGACTTCCTTGCGCCTCCAGCAGGTGCAGTACTGCCCCATGGGACAAGTGCACAGCAAAGTCATAGACTCTGGTAGTCCTGGTCATCGCTGGCATTCCATTATTTCAGTGCCCACGTGTGGCTTGCCAGCGGTCTCTCCAGCAGGAACCCTGTGAAAGTCACAAGCACCACCACTTGGCCCCAGTTGGGGCTTAGGGGGTGTCAAAATACGTTCTGCATTGCGTTCGCCACCATCTCCATGTGGTTATTCTGACATTGGCGGTAGCAGGTCCAGGAAAGCTGGTAACACTTCTGTACCTGGGAGGCGATGGAGCACATCACGGTGGCCTCAAGTGAGGATGTAGGGTTTGGGGTGCTGCTGGGCCTCTGGGTGCAGTACTCCAGGTAGTCAGTCAGCAGCTGGAGGGTGCACAACCTCAGTTGGTCCTCCATGGCCTGGTGTCTGCTCAGGTCCTGGCCCCGCCGGCTTTCTTGGTCTAGTTGCACCTCTGCTCGGGAAGGGGCTATCTCTATGAGTCTTTTTCTGTTTGTGTGTGTGTTTTTTTAATTCAATTTGATAGACATGTTTTGTTGCCATTTATTGTTCATATTTTAGACTTCTCTTTTTCTTAAAAAAGACCTCTGAACATTTCTAATAATACTTTGATTTGGTGGTGATGAACTTTTTTTAGCTTTTTTTTGTCTGTGAATCTCTTTATCTGTCCTTCAATTCTAAATGATAGCTTTGCTGGGTAGAGTGATCTTGGTTGCAAGTCCTTTTCATCACTTTGAATATTTCTTGCCACTCTCTTCTGGCCTGCAAAGTTTCTGCTGAGAAATCAATTAACAGTCTTATGGGAGCTCCCTTGTAACTAACTGCTTTCCTCTTGCTGGTTTTAAGATTCTGTTTCTCTTTAACCTTTAGCATTTTAATTATTACGAGTCTTGTTGTGGGATTCTTTGGGTTCATCTTGTTGGGGACTCTGCACTTCCTGGTCTTGCATGTCAATTTCCCTTACCAAGTTAGGGAAGTTTTCTGTTATTCGTACTTTAAAAATAAAGAAAACCCCACAATCTTTATTGATTCATCAGACAGAAGGTGATAGCAAGGTTTAGAGTAGTAGACAGCAAGGCTGTGATTGAAAAATACACAAATTAAAGAATTACTAAAATTGGGTGTTGGTTGCTAACCACTAAAACAGAGATCAAAATGGGATGTGGGTAGAATGATGAATATTTCATTATTATTATCATTGATTTTAAAGAGGAAGGGAGAGGGAAATACAAACATCAATGATAAGAGAGATTCGTTGATTGGCTGCCTCATGCATGCCCCCCACTGGGAGTTGAACCGTGACCTCTTAGTTCATTGGTCAACTGACACTCAATCATGCTGGCCAGGCTCATTATTATTATTTTTTTTCAGGGAGGCGGGGGGTGGAGAGAAAAGGAGAATCTGGGTTCATTATTTTTAAAAAATATTTTTATTGATTTCAGAGAGGAAGGGAGGTGAGATAGAAACATCAATGATGAGAGTCATTGATTAGTTGCCTCCTGCATGCCCTCTACTGGGGATCGAGCCTGCAACCTGGGCTTGTGCCCTGACTTGGAATCAACCTACGACTTCCTGTTTTATAGGTCTATGCTCAACCACTGAGCACTGCTGGCCAAGCAACATTTCATTTTTTGTTAATTGAACTATATTTTTATTGATTTCAGAGAAGAAGGGTGAGGGAGGGAGGGCTAGAAACATCAATGATGAGAGAGAATCATTATTGATTGGCTGCCTCCTGCATACCCCTCATCCCCCACCGACCCACTGAACCAGCTAGGGCTCATTATTTTTTTTAAATTTATTTTTATTGTTGAAAGTATTACAGGTGTCCCCATTTTCCCTCATGCCCCCTTCACCTGGCTCCCACCCCACTGGAGTCCTTCGCTGCACTATAAGTTCTTTGGTTAATCTGTTCCCACTTCCCTACCTCCTTCCTTCTGAGATCTGTCAGTTTGTTCCATGCTTACATGTCTCTGGGCCAATTTTGATCGTCAGTTTATTTTGTTTATTGGTTTCCACATATAAATGAGATCATGCAATCTTTGTCTTTCTCTGACTGGCTTATTTGTATAATATTCTCCAGGTTCATCTATACTGTCTTAAAGGGCAAAATTTCCTCATTTTTTACAGCTGCATTGTATTCCATTGTGTAAATATACCACAGCTTTTTTATCCACTCAACTACTGATGAGCAGATTGGCTATTTCCACATCTTAGCTTTTGTAAATAATGCTACTATAACATAGAGGTACATACCTTCTTTCTGATTGGTACTTCAGGATTCTTAGGATACATTTCCATAAATGGGATCGCTGGGTCAAAAAGCAGTTTGGTTCCTTTTAAACTTTTGAAGGAACCATACTTTTTTCCACAGTGGCTGCACCAGTCTACATTTCCACCAACAGTGTACAAGATTTCCCTTTTTACCACATCCTCACCAGCAATTGTTTGTTCATTTATTGATGGTAGCCATTGTGCCTCGTATGGATGGGGCTGTACGTCATTGTAACTTTAATTTGCCCACTTCTTTTTTGTTCCACTTTGCTTGTAAAATTTTATTCCATCCCTTCATTTTCATCTGGTGTGAGTCTTTTATTCTGAGGTGGGTCTACTTGGTTTTCACTACTTTAAGTATTTCATGCCACTTCCTTTTGACCTGTAGTGCAGGGTTGTTTCTTTGTTTTGTTTGTTTTTGAGAAATCAGCTGACAGCCTTATGGGAGCTCCCTTGTAGGTAACTAACTGTCTCCCTTTCTACTTTTAAGATTCTCTCTTTGTCTTTAGCATTTCCTATTTTAATTATGATGTGTCTTGGTGTGGGACTTTTTGGATATTCATCTTGATTGGGACTCTATGCTTCCTGAACTCATGTGACTTTTTCCTTTACCTAGTTAGTTCTGTCATTTCTTCAAAGAAGTTCTCTGTCCAGTACTAATTTTCTACCCCTATTAGGTGGATGTTGAGCCATTTAATGTTTTCCCAATGTGCCCTTAAAACTGTCCTATGCTTTTTAAGTGTTTTGTGTGTGTGTGTTTTTATCCTCCCTGAGCATATTTTTCCGTTGAATTTTAGACAGAGTAGAAGAGAGGGAAAGACAGAGAAAAATATCGTTGTGAGAGAAACACATCAATTGGTTGCCTCCTGCACAAGCCCTGAGCAGAACCCTGGCTGGGGAGTATCCTGCAACTGAGGTATGTGTCCTTGACCAGAATCGAACCCAGGACCCTTCAGTCCACAGGTTGACGCTCTATATCCATTGAACCAAACCAGCTAGGGCTTAGTGTTTTTCTTTTTGCTGCTCTAATTGAGTGGGGTTTTTTTCTATGTTGTCATCCTAATAGCTGATTTCGATCCTCTGTTTCATCAACCTTCTTATAATCCTTTCCAATGTATTCTTGATGTCAGAAATAGTATTTTTCATTTCTGACTTGTTCTTATTCATGGTTTCTATGTCCTTTTCCATGCTGATGTTGTTCCCACTAAGTTCCTTATAGTTCTTCCTAAGTTCCTTGAGCATCTGTATAGCCATTACTCTAAACTCTATTTCTGGTAAATTGCTTAACTCCATCTCATTTAGTTCTTTTTGTGGAGATTCTTCCTTTCGTTTGGGGGTTGTTTCTTTGTTTTTGTTTAATAGAAGTGCTGTGACTCCTGGTCTTGTGGGTGGTCTTTTGTTGTAAATGTCCTCCTTGGCCTAATGGTGCATTCTCCTTGAACTCCAGAGCTGGATGCCCTAGCAGCGGTTCTCAACCTGTGGGTTGTGACCATCGGAAAACACATATAGCATATCAGATATTTACATTACGATTCATAACAGTAGCAAAATTACTGTTATGGCCCTGACTGGCACCCCTACTGGGGGTCAAGCCCACAACCTGGGCATGTGCCCTTGACTGGAATCGAACCTGGGACCTTTCAGTCCACAGACCAACGCTCTATCCACTGAGCCAAACTGGTTTGGCCGAAAATAATTTTACGGTTGGGGGTCACCACAACATTAGGAACTGTATTAAAGGGTCGCGGCATTAGGAAGGTTGAGAACCACTTCAAGAGTGTCTGTTTTGTGGGTTATTTGGGCTCTTCCATTGTAACTGGGTCTTGATTGTTGTCCCTCTTGTGGGTTGGATCTCCTCCCATGCTGGTAACTGTGAGGGAGGGAGGCCAGCATATCAAGAGATATTGACATATCAAGTAAGATAAGGCCAAGATTTAAGAGCAAGGAGTTGTAATTTCGTGAGTCTTATTTCAATGAATTGGAAAGGGTAGAAATCAAAATGAAGTGTGTACAGAGTAGGAGGTAAGAAAGTTGAAATAGTAAAAAGAGATAGCTCTTTGATATAGTTTATTAGAGATGTTGAAGACAGAGGTGCTGACTAAGGAGGGTATGAAGTACACTTCTTCCATGGACTCTAAGTACTTTGAGAGTAGGATAATGTCCTATTTACCTGTGTTATTTCATATTTCAGCTTGTCCATTTGCTAGAGTAAATTCCAGATTGTAAGTTACCTGAGGACAGAAACTATCTAATTTTTCTTATACACAGAACCTGACACATAATATGTCACAAATAAATAGTTGAATGAATCAAAACGATATATTTTCTTCTCTCTTTATATTAAAAAGTAAAATAATCTTTCTTTTTTTCTTATAGATTAAGCATATGATGGCTTTTATTGAACAAGAAGCCAATGAAAAAGCAGAAGAAATAGATGCAAAAGTAAGAATTCATGTTTCTAGGTTTAAGAAGTTATAAAGTTTTATGTTGTTTTGCTTTGTTAAATAGTAAGTAGTGAAATTGTTTAACTGCATTGCATGGGACTAATAAGAATATCTCTTGTAGGCGCACTCTCCCTCCAGGGAGCTCGCCCATGCCATTGTGTATGCATGCGCACACACATACACACACCCCGCACATATATCCTAATCTCTAAGGGACCCAATCAGACTTGCAACAAGGTGAGCTGTGGGCAGCTACAGCTCATCCTGGGCTAACCCCTTGAACCTGTCTCCAAGACTCCCTTTTCTCTGACTTCCCAGTGAGTCAAAGCAGCTCAGCCTAGGCTCTCCTGTTGCTTCTTCTATGCCCTTTCTTGTTTAACTGTCATAAATATGTTTGTACTGCAGTCAGGAAATCTTGTTTGCTTTAAAAAGAAAAAAGAAAAAAAGAATATCTCTTATATTTAACATTAAAAGTAAATTTTCTGCCCTGGCCGGTGTGTCAGTACTTATAGTGTCAGCCCACATGCAGAAGGGTTGCGGGTTTGATTCCCAGTCAGGGACAAGTTCTTGGGCTGCAGTACCCGAGTTCCAGGTTCAGTCCTCAGCCCCGGTCTGGATGTGTGCAGGAGGCAACCCATCAATGTGAGAAGGACACATTGATGTGTTGTTGTTTTTTTTCT